AAAAAAAAAACAACAACAACCAACTTTTAGTTTAAAGAAGAGTATTAAACAAGGTAATTGTAATTCTTACATGTTCCTGGTGGAAATACAATAAAGTGCACCCTCCTTTGCCAAATAGTTTGCAATTACCTATGTGGTCTAGCCTTCCCATTTAGGAAATGAAAGCAAAAGCACCCACACAAAAAACTTGCATGCAAAGGTTTACGGCTTTATTTATAATTGCCCAAATCTGTAAATAACTCATGTCCATCAACAAGCAGGTGATGGATAGACAAAATGACACAGCAATACAGTGAAATAATACTTGGCAATAAAATGACAGCCTGCTAACCAGAGCACACCACAGATGCATACCAGTGTGTGTGGTGACTCTGCATGACACCCTAGGGTACAGACCTGCAGGGGCAGACATCAGTGACCGCTGGGCTGGGACACCGACTACTCAGCAGGGCTTCAGGGAGTCGGAGGTGCAGCTGTTCCACATCGTCATTAGGGTGGTGGATATATTTACCAAAGGTTACAGAATAGCGTGGTGAAAAGGGTGAATTCTGTTTGTGAGAATTAAGCCTTAATAGACCTGGTGTTAGGGAAGATTAAAGCAGGTTTTCTCCTGATGATTTCCTGTCTGGGGTCTCTGCCTGCCCCTCTTTCTAGTGCTTTGTGGTACACGCAAAGGCCTCGGCTCTGATGGTCCCTTTCTGTCCTCAGTGTCTCTCTCACATCCATTCTTCCTTTCTTGTCAGAGTCTTCCCAGCCACCCTGACCAAAATAGTCATCTTGAGATGTTTCTCCCTTTGCTTTTCTGCCCTTGGCATTTTTCACAACATACTGGACTTTTTGTTTTCCTTTTCTTTCTGATACTGTGCTGAAGAATATAGTGCAAATTTCAGAAGGGAGTTTTGGGGGAGTTTTTGTTACATCATCTAAAACACTACCTGACACCTACGAGACGATCAGTAAACACTGTTGAACGAATGTGTGCATGACTTAAATGCTGCCACATCCCTTCTGAATCCCCCTGCCAGGCACACCTAGTGCTTGCACTGGCACATGCTGGTTGGATGTTCCCTGTAGGGTCTGAGCTGCTTTCACAACAGTGCTCTTCCCACCAGATCCAAACCTGTCCCAGCTCTGCCCAAATGAAGGGCGGCAGAATTGCTCCAAATACCCATCTTCCCTTCCTCTGTTGTTATGCCCCAGCTGGGACAAAGCAGCACCAGTGTGATGCAGAGCTGAGGAAAGAGATCTCCTCTGTGTGGGCCAATCTGCCCCAGAAGACCCTGGACTTACTGGTACCACCCCACAAGCGTAAGTAGGAGGGTGAGAAATGCCCTTCAGCTTCACCTTCCCTCTTCCCCCGCAGAGGCAGGAGGGGAGAGGCTGCAGGCATGTGGAGGTGGGAGTGCGATGCGAGCCTTGGAGGTGGAGGCCCACCAAGTGCTCCTGAAGCAAAGTAGGGCAAGTCAGTCCTGCACAGGGTTCTTGGGAGGAGTCAGAGCTGTTCTGGGTGTAGCATCTGGATCAGTCATGGGGCCAAGCTGTGGCTGAGCTTCTGAGCATCTCTAGATTCCACGTGGTGGGGTGAGCGAGAAGAGGCTGCCTCCTTACCCTACTCCACCCTCATCTTCGGCAGCTTTTCTGCTCTTTCTCCTCCAAACTATTACCTCTGAATCATCTCTTTGCCTGTTCTTTTTAGCTGATGAGATGACAGTGGGGAAAGTCTATGCAGCCCTGATGATATTCGACTTTTACAAACAGAACAAAACTACCCGAGATCAGATTCACCAAGCTCCAGGAGGCCTGTCCCAGGTACAGACTCCATCATTCCCAAGAAGTAACCCAGATGCCTTGGAAACCCTGGCAGTCTTTGGAGACCAAACCATACTTAGGGTGCAGTGGCTGAAGGAGGAAGCCCCATCACATTAACTGGTGGCATGGTGGTATTAGGGAGCCCTTGAGCTAGACAGCTGGTATTCAGGGCCAAGAAGAGAGGAGGTCTGAGGTCTGAGGACAGAGGCCTTGGGTAACACTGCTCTTTCAGTGGTAGATAACAGGAGAAAGAGGTGTCTGAGGGGGATCTTTGGCAGGTGAAAGAAGCATCTGCTGTTCCTGCAGTTAGGGACCAGAGAGACACCTGATGGGCCTCAGGGTCCCTGTTGGCTCTGAGTATGACTCACAAGGTTTGGGGTTTGTCTTTCTAGTGCCATCGTATAGTTGTGTCTTCAGTGACCACAGGAGGTTCTATCTGAAGTTCTTAGACCCAGAAATCTAGTTCTCCCACAGCTACAGGTAGCATTCACTCCACATTGGTGCTGAGATGAAACCATTCTGCTGTCTGTAGCCTGTCTAACCCCAAATGGAATAGGTAGGGAAACTGAGGCTCTGAGAAATGACATACTTTAGTGAAGTCACAGGGCTGGCCCAGAGGTTCTTTAAGGGTCCTCTGACCTGCCCCACTGTTTAAGTACAACTATGCTTGGAGGAGAACTGGCTTCTGTCACATGCCATATGCCTGCCAAGGCTGCATTACAGCTTCCCCAGGCCTGACCTCTCTTGTGCACCTTTGCAGATGGGCCCCGTGTCCCTGTTCCATCCTCTGAAGGCCACTCTGGAGCAGACACAGCCGGCTGTGCTCCGAGGAGCTCGAGTTTTCCTTCGGCAGAAGAGTTCTACCTCCCTTAGCAACGGTGGGGCCATGTAAGTACCAGGTGTGGGGCAGTCCTGGGAGGGGTCTGAGCCATGGGCCAGGGGAGCAGAAGCCCTTTCCTTGCCCTGCCACCCTCTCTTCCCACTGTCCTCTAGTTCAGCTTGATCCAGGGAACTTCAGGTGACCTGTCCAGTGCCTCACTAGCCCTCCGGGGGCAGAGGTGTCTGGTCCATCCCTGTGTCCTTCACCCCAGGTGCAGCCTGGTAGTAAGTGGCTTTCCACTTGCCAGGTTTCTGGGGTGGACTTTGCAGTGAGCTCCTGCAATGGCAGGGCCAGCACTGGATGGCTTCAACAGGTTGCCATTCCAAAGTTGCTGCTGCCCGGGTACCTTTCATGCCCAGACTCTGCTCTGTTGCTGGCCCCTGGTGCCTGAAGACCTTTCAGAAATTGTGTGTTTCCATCTCAAACCCTCACCTGTTAGTATGCTGCTTTTCTTAGTTCCCCTGATGCAGTTTCTCCCAGATTCTCATTTTGCTATTGATTTCTGAGGATGTTGCATTCTGTAGACAAATTGTTTAGGTCCTTTTGCACCAGTTAACACTTGCCACAAGATTTCTTGGTAACAAGCTACTGGACACAAAAAGCATAAAACAATGATTACCTTTTCTCGCTCAGGGTGGTGGAGGGCCCTGGGCAGCTGGACTTCACATGGAGGGGCCCCACAGCCTTCCTGGACAGTGGGCTCCAGGGTATGAGCCAGACAGGCCCTCTCATCTTCGCCTCCAGCAAGCTCACCACCCCACGTGGGCCCTGAGAATGGTGGAGGACCTAGGTGTAGATGCTGTCCAGGCCTCTGTTGCTGCCCCTCAGGGAGCACATTGTAGCCAGGTCCTGAAGGTTGCAGCGGGCAGGACAGAGGGGCCTGGCCTTTGAGGGCTGCTAGAGAGATGCACCCTGTGTCCAGGGCTGTGGTGGGCCTAGCTGCCCAGAGTCCCACACTCTCCCTCCCAGGAGTTGGTTAGTGTCCCTTCTAGTATATAAACAGATGATTCTGAATGTGTGAACGAGTGTCATTGTGGGAGAACATGACTACTGTGTATATCCGAGTATAGTAGCGGAATGTCTGGAAATGTGTGTGTGCGGGGGGGATGGAGGTGCCTTTTGGGTAGATTTGAGCCAGGTTCTCAGGAGGAAAAGAAGTTTGAGTTACTTCCTGGTTGTAGCTGCTGCGTGAAGGTGAGAGAACAAATATCTGGTCAGCCTGGCTGGGTGAACACTCCAGGCTCAAGCTGCTGTGACTTCAGAGTGCCCGGAGCCCAAAGGTGCTTCCCAAGAGCTGCCTGGCAGCACCCTGGATTCTTATCAGAATCCCCTGCAGGGATGTGTGTAGCCTTCGTCTCTGGCCTAGCACTGTGGTCAGGGTGTGGTTGGCTCCAGAGATCAAGCTCCACACTGAGCTCCATGTGTGATCAGCACCAAGCTCCCTGTATGGCTGCTCTGTGCTCAGGAGGAATGAATTTTTGTAGGCAGAGTTAGATCTGGATGGGAGATACTGTCAGAGCATAGTAAGGGGCAGACAGAGAGCATCTGTGCCCCATTTCCACAAACACTGCGAGTAGAAAGGACCTTGGGGCTGGGGTCATGGGATGAAGTGCTGCTAGGAAGGGCCCCTGCGGGAGGCAGCTCAGAAAGGCCTGGGGCCAACATCTTCAGCTATGTCAGCATTGGCAGGGTGTCTTGGGCTGCTTTTCACTTACCCAAGTTTTATTCCTCTGTCTGCATCCCTTCCCACCATGGCCTTGGGCAGCAGCAGGACAGTATTTCACAGATGAACACCCATGTAAGAGTGAGGAACTTGCCAGTCAACCAGAGTCCTCCCTGCCTCCGAGTTTTGTTATACTCTGACCAGCACCAAGGGCCTGCCCTTTGGTGTGCCTTTGCTCTGGAGCATGCGGAGACTGCTGAGCTCCTGTATGCGGGGGCAGGTTTGTTCTAGCCTGGAGTTGGGGTATCTGGACCCTTGACCTTGTGAGAGTGTAGCTGGTAAAGGCTTCAGGCAGGTCCAGGGTGGGCAGTGTGAGTGCATGGGTCTCTGACCTATGGAATGTTCCTCTTCTTTTTTACAGACAAACCCAAGAGAGTGGCATCAAGGAGTCGGTGTCCTGGGGCACACAGAGGACCCAGGAAGCACTCTACGAGGCCAGAGCACCACTGGAGCGTGGCCACTCAGCAGAGATCCCTGTGGGGCAGCGGGGGACACTGGTGAGCCCTCCTTGGAGGCGGGGTGTATGGGACAGAGCCCTGGTGGCCTCTGGGCAGGGATGGGAGTCTGTGGCACCAGATGAAGGCATGAGGTCCAGGATGTTGGGGTCTGTGCGAACAGGATTGGAGTGGTATAGACCATGATGGAGGAGTCTGTGGGACCAGGATGGGGGGTGTCCTGTGGGACCTGGATGGGCACTCATAAGATGGTTCCCTGTGAGTGTAGCCTCGAAATTGCTCTCCCCAGGCTGTGGATGTCCAGATGCAGAGCATGGCACTGAGGGACCCAGATGGAGAACCTCAACCTGGGCTGGAGAGCCAGGGCCGAGCCGCCTCTATGCCCCGCCTGGCAGCAGAAACACAGGTGGATGGTGGTGGAAGGGTCTGGACTGGGAGAGGGGTGTGAAGGTGTGTACATCCTGAGGGTGTGGGGACCTAGAAGAGGGAGAAGAGCACCCCTTCTTGGAGCCCTCCCAGGAGCCTGTGTAGCCTGACACTTCTGGGGACACGCAGGCCTTGGTCCTCAAACTCTGAACCTCCAGCTCTACTCCCTCCAGATGTGTTATCACCTAGGAGGTAACCCCCAGTTCTGTTCCACTCAGCTCTGTCCCCCCAGCTCTGGTCTTCTGGTTCTGCTATTCCCCTTCCAGCTCCATGTCCCCTCTTCAGCTGTGGTGTCCTCCTTCCAGCTCTGTGTCCCCCAACCCTGTGTCCCTACTTCTTCCCTTTCTGGGTCTCCTCTGTTATAGCACAGCCTCACCCTGTCCAGAAGATGACACTGCTTGCCTCTGTCCATCCTGCTGGAGTTTCTGAAACAACTTTTTCTGTTCTATCCCTGGATTTTCTTTCCTCCTCTGACTCCTGGAAGTCAAGATTCTTTCTGTGGCTTGTTTGCCTAAGGAGCAGCAACTGGCCTAGGAAGTTCAGCTTCTGGGTGTACCCTTGGACAAGTTCCTGTCTGAGGACACTGAGAGGAGTATACTATATTTCCATTCTGAAGCAAAGCAGGGTCTGTACGGTCTTGGTTTCATCTCTAAGCACCCAAGGCCTGCTGGCCCCAGGTTTCCCTGTTCATTGTGCTCCTCCTCCTTCCTGCGGCTCTTACTTCTGAACATGTATTGTGAACTTTGTTCTCATTCTTGACTCCCAGTCCCGCTGCCTGTCTCTGCCCTTTGCAGCGTTCCTGTCCTTTCCTCACAGTCCATGTGTCCTTCTTGCTTTTCTCTCCTGTTACCATTTGTGCCTCCCTGCTTCCAGTTTTCTCCAAGGTGTTACAGCCTGAGGGGACAGCCTCATGGACCAGCCAGTTGTGAGGCCAAGGAAAAGTGTCCCCTCCAGTCAGCGAGGCAGCCGTGCTGTACTCAGATTCTCCAAACCCACCAACAGCCCCTTGTCCCTTGTACAACCTAGGGGCTCTGTCCCATGCCCAGTTCTCCCTGATGGGACCTGGCCTGCCTCTCTGCCCCAACACCTGCTTCCTTGCCCCCTGCTACCCCAGGCCCTCCCTCGTCCTTCAGGCCCTGCTCCTCCTTGTCCCTCGCTACAGCCTGTTCCTGATGCCAGTCCCATGAAGCGCTCCATTTCCACACTGGCCCAGCGCCCCCATGGGGCCCACCTCTGCAATGCTGCCTTGGACCGCCTGCCCCCCAGCCAGGTGCCACATCACCATCACCACCGTTGCCACCGCCGCAGGGACAAGAAGCAGAGGTCCTTGGAAAAGGGGCCCGGCCTGTCTGCTGACACAGATGGTGGTACGTGCCAAAGAGCCTGGGGAACCTCTTGAGGGACTGTGGCCTGAGTTGGGGGCACTGTGCAGCCCGTGGATATTGCCTCTTCCTTGCTGTCCCACATAGCCCCAAAACTGGCCTCAGTAGGCAGGGCCCTAAGGCCCAGTCTAGGCACCAGGCAAGACCACATGCCAGGCCCTTGTGCTTTCCAGCCCTGTCGAGGTCACTCCTGGCCCCCCCAGGGATGGGGCCTGGGGAGAGGTCTCCCTGGTTCTGAGCTTGGCTGAGCTGACCTTTCCTCTTCCCTGGACAGCGCCAAACAGCACCCCAGGACCTGGCCTGCCCCCAGGCGAGGGGCCAGCAGGCTGCCGGCATGAGCGCAAGCAAGGGCGTGGCCGATCCCAGGAGCGGAGGCAGCCCTCCTCCTCCTCCTCAGAGAAGCAGCGCTTCTACTCCTGCGACCGCTTCGGGGGCCGTGAGCCCCCACAGCCCAAGTCCTCCATCAGCAGCCACCCCACGTCTCCGACAGCTGGGCCAGAGCCTGCACCGCCCCCGCAGGTAAGCGGCATAGGCCATGTGGACTGTCGCCGTGCTCCCTCTGTGCCTTTGCTTCCCAGCCACCGTCCCTGGGGTGGTGGCTCCAATCCTCACGCTCTCTGCCTGTTTCCTCGCCGCCCTCCTGTGTTCCTCTCCCTGGACCCACGTGGACCCCGCCTTCTTCCTCAACTGTCCGCTTCTCCACTGCTGCTGGGTGCTCTGTGCTGCATGACTTGTTTCTGGCTTTTATTTGCTCTTCTCTTCACACAGGGTGGTGGCACTGTCCATGGAAGCCCCTTGCTGTCGACATCTGGTGCTAGCACCCCAGGCCGAGGTGGGCGGAGGCAGCTCCCACAGACCCCTCTGACGCCCCGCCCCAGCATCACCTACAAGACGGCCAACTCCTCGCCCGTCCACTTTGCTGGGGCTCAGAGTGGCCTCCCAGCCTTCTCCCCTGGCCGGCTCAGCCGAGGACTTTCTGAACACAATGCCCTACTCCAGAGAGACCCCCTGAGCCAGCCCCTGGCCCCCAGCTCTCGCATCGGCTCCGACCCTTACCTGGGGCAGCGCCTGGACAGTGAGGCCTCTGCCCACACCCTGCCTGAGGACACACTCACTTTCGAGGAGGCCATGGCCACCAACTCAGGCCGCTCCTCCAGGACTTCCTATGTGTCCTCCCTCACCTCCCAGTCCCACCCGCTCCGCCGTGTGCCCAATGGCTACCACTGCACTCTGGGACTCAGCGCCGGCGGCCGGGCTCGGCACAGCTATCACCACCCTGACCAGGACCACTGGTGCTAGCTGTACCTTGACCACCCATGCACCTGACCAGCGGTGTGGGCTCCAGTTGATGAGTTTTATCATCTGCACTGGGCTCTGGGCTGCAGCCCCTGGGAGGAGGGGCCTTACTTGTGGCCTCCATGGTAAAGGCTCCCCCTTTTACACTGGAAGGACTAATAAAGCCCTTTCTTAGAGGGTTGTGGCTGTGTCTGTCCCCCTCGTGTGCTGCCTTCCTGGGTCTTATGCCACACGTCATGATCCTGAACAGGAGGTAGCCAAGTTGAGATGGACCCAGCTGGTCCAGATCCCATGTCATGGCCTCCAGCATCCGGGTGGGTGCTCACAACCTGTTTTGGGAGGTCTGAAATCATGGGCAGCTTCCTGTGTCCAGATGTGTTGTCAGAGGGTGGGGGCATGCCTGAAAGCATGAAAAGGGCCCAGCTGTGGCCTGGCATCTCTTGCCAGCCTCTGTGATCCCGTGTCTATTGTTGCTTGCACTGAACAGCAAATGTATGTAGAAACACACTGTCCTTCCCCAATCACTGTTGCCCCAACACAGACCAAATCCAGAGAATGTTTGTGCCGTCGATTCTGGTTTTTGGTCGCAGCACCCTTCGCTCTGTCACTTCAATATACTTGATCTAGAAAAACCGAAAGCAGGAAAAATGGCTGAGGAAACATTAACATAACCCATAGGAAAATCTCCACTTTTCCTTGTGTGTTTCTGTACTTGTGCGAGAAGATGTTCCTGTGTGGACTCTGCCTGGCCTGGGTAGCCTCCAGCAAGCCTGACACCTGCTGCTTGACCAAGTGCCTGACCTCCAGCTCCTGGGTATCGTGTGATACGAGGCCTTGCGAGCTATCACTCATGGATTGTGTGAAAACTGCTTAGAACATCAGCTGGGTAGGAAGCTCATGTGTGCAGGAGCAACAGATGACACTCAGCAGCACAGCACAGTGAAGACAGGTGGTTTTTCCCCATGTTCTTCCCACAAGCAAGAGGATTTAGGAAAGACGAGCAGCAGAGTGCATGCTTGTGTGAGGCATTTTCAATCTGTTCTATATCTGATTCTCAGGGATGGGATGCCTGCCAAGTAGGGCGTGATCTCTGTCGTGCATGAAGTGACTTTTCACCAAAAGCTGAAGGAATGAGAGCTAGTGGGGACGAGGGAGATAGTGACTAGTGGGTTGGATGTAGGGCCACCATAGCAGAAGGGAGAAAGTCACAGCAGGTGACTAGTGGAGGATAAATTGTTCCTGAGCTATGGCTGTGGCCTCAGTTCCTCACCCCAGGCATAGGGAGGCAGCAGTCAAACCTAACCTCACAGCCAGTCTCCAAAGGGAAAGCCCATACTCAGGATGGCGTTTGGTGTGTGGAGAATGTTGGGAGACCTCTCATGAAGGGTGCATGTAGACAAGTCCATCAGTGTGTCCTTTGTGTTGGAACGTCAGGTGATTTCTCTGTGGGAATGTTGGCTTCTACCCTGTGATTCTCCTCAAGAAGCTACGTGTGACCCATGTATGTGTGTCTGGGTATATGTGGTAGTGTGTTGTGTGGATGTCAACCATAGGGCTATGCAACAAAAGACACATTTAATAGAAACAAAACACAAGACCACCACTTGGTCTAGAGTTTCAGCATGATTGTGACCAAACCTTTTTATAGAATTTCCTCACGTGAAGGCACAACACTCTGCAACTTTAATGGTAACAGAGTATTTTAATCTAATAGGGTAAAATTATGCAGGAATATTGGTCTGTGCATGTGACTCTCCGCTCATGTTGCAAAGTAGAAGGATGTGCATTTCAGTAATGTTTTGTCTGTTCTCCCCAGCCCATGTTATCTTGGGTGTCAAAAAGTATACATTCCATGTAGAAACACAGTTGTCTCCCAGGCAGTCATGGGTCAAGAATACTCTTTCTAGACTCGTACAACCTATCTGGCTTGCCTGGATTCTTTTAGGCATTGGCATTCATGAAATTAAAAGAAGTAGGGAAATGGGTCTTATTTTCCTGACTTTGGGTTTGTTTCTGTACTGTCTCTTCTCAAGTGACTGTCTATTTCCTCTGAAATCTCATAGTGAGTTGCCAAATTTGAAATGCATCAACCAGCTATCTGCATCTGGAATCTGTCAAGCAGTGGCTGTACTTTGAACAAGTTATGTGTGCATGTAAAATATATACGTATATACATTATACAAGTATGTGCATGAAATGTATATCTTCATACTTTTTATACAATGTATTCATTTGTTAATTTTTAATTATATTTGATATAAATTGAAGGTTTGTTGTAAAACTTTATATTTAAACAACAGTGTTAAAAAGAAAGAGAAGTCCCAACCATGCAAACCAATTGGGACCTACTTTTAAAAAAATCCTGTGATTGACTAGTTTACTGCCTGAGTAGTATTTACAAGCCAAAATTTGGATTCTGCTATTGTTTCTACAATGACCTTTTGTATGAAGCAAAAGTCCTTGGATTAAAATAAAAAATTAGAAAAAAACCCCAAAGACAAAAGCAAAACTCCCCACAATGCTACCAGGAGGTATGTGGGGGTCTGTGTGTCTGAAGCGCGCTGGGTGGGAGGACAGCCAGGACAGATCAGGAGAAAGTGGGAACTTCTGTATCCTCCCTGTAGGCCCTAGTTAAAAACCAAGTGTGACATATTGAGAATTAGGGTAAGAATGGCTCAGGATGGGTGGGTCCTTTGGCTACCAGGGCTGATAGCTGGACTACAGTATCAGGAACCTGGGTGCCTGGAGCCTCTCTCTGGTAAACGGTGCAGGAGCAGCTGGACTACATTGCCCAGAATTTTCTGACATCTGATTCTCCCAGCCACCATTACCACCACCCCTTTTCAGCGAGAGCTGAGGGAGCAGATTCTGGACTACACTGCCCAGAATCTGGTGCAGTCCCTTGGTATGGAGCTTACCCTTATGATGACTGGGGGAGGAATCCAGACTATCTTGCCCCCAAATTTAAGGGGTCTATAGCTCACAGCCAGTCTGGTGACCCCACCCTTAAGATCAGGGCTGCCAGGCTCAACCCCAGAATGCTGTGGGTTGCAGAATATAGGAGTGTCCTGGGTGAGGGCTGTGAGGACAGAGTGCTGGACCACACAACCCAGAATTCTCTGGGACTGCAGATCCCAGGAACTTTGGCAGCAAAGGCTGAGTGGACAGAAGGGAAACAGTAGCAGAGTGTCAGAGAACAAGTTTTCAGACCTGCAGCTCCCAGAGAAGGGCCATAGGGGAATGAGCCTGTAAGCTGAAACCCCAATCACATCTGCAGTGGCCACCATGTGCTGCATTTAATGTCATAAAATGACCCTAAAATGGCGCCAGTCGCTGACAAACACCATTTAAGACGCACCGCCAGAGGCGTCTGCTTTGGTTTTACCAACCAGCCCTCCAAAGCAAGAATTAGGATTAGGTTAGGAGATTAGGGGTGGGGTTGGAGTTGGAGTAGGGGTTGGATTGGGGTTAGGGTTAGGGTCAAGGTCAGGCATTAGGGTTGGGGCTGGGGCTAGGTGTTTAGGGTTATGGAACCATATCAGGGTACACTTTTTTAGGATTAGCAAACTCCATTACTATAGTTAGGTGCCCCATTTTTATGGTGAGGGAACCCCACTTTTATACACATTCTCAATTTTAATTTTTTGTTTTACAATTAAAATTATATATATGTATCTTTTATTAATAGGAATGTATAGGCTCTATAGAAATAAATGGGTTGTACTGAAGCACATATTCTCCATAGGAAATTATAGGGATACACTTCTCTCTAAGGGCTTGAAGTTGCAGAGTAGCAGTCAGCTGCTTTAGTGGCCCAATAAGGAGGTAGCGGTGTAGATATTGAGGTTGCAGATTCAAATCTAGAATCGGGTGGTATGGTATCATGTCCTTAGTGTTAGGGAGAAGGTGAAGTTTAGCATTCATGTTTGTCTTAGTTTTCAGACTGGAGTTGGCATTGATGTGGGGTTAGAGTTAGAGTCAGTTAATGGAACAGTTCCATGAACATTCCTTATATTTTATCAGTTAAATGGTATTCAAAATATAGTGTGGTAAATTAAAGATTTTTTTGTAAAACTTTAGAGGAAAACATAGTCTAACACAATATAGTATATGTTGTTAACCCTGCCAAAACAAAATTTTGCAGACTTGAGCTAAACAATACAAATTTATTTTCTCACAGGTCTGGAGGAAGGAGTCCAAACAAAGCTGCCTGTAGAATTTCTCCTGTGCCCTCTCCTTTGACTTGAAGACAGCAGACTCCCAGCCATGTCCTCACATGGCCTTTCACATGTTCACCCCTGGTGTCTCTTTTACAAGGACTCAGTCAAATTGGATTAGAGCTCACCACACATTCTTGTTTCTCTTTTCATGGAATACAAAAAAATATTTGACACTTTAAAGACACAAAGACTCATTGTGCATAACTCAGGGGATATCATAATCTGGTTGGAGGATGCCTCAGATGTTCATTTTCACGCTGTGTATGTCCCAGGCTAGTCTAGCCAGTGGTCCCTACAAAGAGTTTTCTAGAAAAGTCCTTAGGAGGCATGAAAGCCACCAGGCTACTTGTGGAGCAATTGTGCTTCCTCCAGGCATCCACAGCCAATGGCCAGTGCCTGTCCTTTAGAAGGCAGCCTGGAAATGTTGTCATTAGGGGGCTTCCCATGTTAGAACCCACCCTGTACTAGGCAGCATTGCTCTTAGGTGCATCCTTAGATGCCCTTGGTAATCCCTTCCAGAAAGCAACTGGAAACATGGGAACTGCAGCCAGTAGCAGGCCCAACTAGGAAATGCGTTTATACTGGAGTTCCCTTCTCCCAACTTCATGTCTATCCCTGGGTTCATAGACCTTATTTTTCTGTAGGAAAAAAGAGATCCAAAAAGGAAAGAAGAAAGGAAGAGAGAAAGAAAGAAAAGAAGACACTGTCATTTAGGTAAGTATTTTGAATAAAATAGGTCATGTTGGGCCAGGGATTTAGCTCAGTGGTGCCGCTGCTGCCTGCCTCGCAAGCGCAAGGACCCAAGTTCCATCCCCGGTACCCCCCCAAAAATCATGTTACTAGAAAGATGATGGCATTGAGATGGGAAACAAATTACAGTTGTTGATAAGAAGACTTCCCAAAGAAGGATGTGTGTGCTTTAGCCTTTGCAATAGCTGGAGGAGCATGGAGTAGAAAGTGCAAAATTCATGCATGGCCCCCAAGCTGCCCAAGACCTTACTGCATCACAGTGCAATCCAGTTCTAGTGATGTCAAATGTTTCCATGCCTGTCAACCTAGAAGTAGGAACAGCTGTTTGCTCTAACCTAAGAAATTTTGGCAGCATCTTCAGTACAAAATTCCATGTGATTTTGGGATATAAAATTCTAACTTTTTTCTGTTACAAATTTTTCCTACAGTGATCTCGATTAGCAACTGTGCCATGGAGAATGAAGTATAAAATATTAATTCCACAAATATGTATGGGGTGTTTCTGAACATTATGTTCTAGTCAAGGAACAGATGGTTTAAAAAATAATCATTTATGAACTGCATGTTAAAATACAATCCCGAGTATCTGGGAACATCCAGGTGATCATATTTTTAATATCCTCAGGGATTTGATATTGCGTGACTGGATTGCCACTCTATGTAGAGTTGGTGTTGAAAATCCTTGTAAGGATGCTCTCTTCTTCACTCGTAACATACACAACAGTATATTCAAATGAAATGATTAAATGTTCTTGCATATGAAATAAAATTATTTAAAATACGCCATAAAATTATAATTTTTAATGTGATTCCAATAAGTCAGTAGATTTAATTATTTTATGGAGGCAAAGAAGTCCATTTGTCACGAGCCGCGACGTCAGGATCCTGCCAGCAGGTCCTAAACCTGAAAGGACGAGGACAGAGAGACGGGAGGCACTTTTCTTCTCATGTTCCTTGCTTGCTTGCTTGCTTTATTTCAGAACATCTTCCTTTTATACTCTCCAGCTGCATGGGAGCAAGGGCTGCACGGGAGCTAGAGTACCACCCACACATTCCAGAGGGAAACAATAACCACCATTATGGGTTACATCTGCTACCAGCTGAACTCGCCCGTGGCTATGGGCGAGAGCACGTCCGTGCCAGCGAGGTGACTCAAAGTTCAATCATGGCTAGGCCTGTGTCAAGGCTCACCATAATGGCTCGCCATATCCATTTATAAGCTCCATGTCTTAATTCATTTTCTGTTATTATAACCAAACACCGAGACTCAGTACTGCAGTCATGGGGGAGAAGGATGTCACCAGGAGGATTCTGTGACCCATTGTGCAGAGAACACACCGAGGCTTCTGGGTACCCTAGTCCTGGTGGAAGGGGTGTCACACTGAGGATTTTGGGTACCACAGTGGGGGACAAAGAGTGGTTTCTGGGTATTGTAGTGGGGTGAGGTTGTCACACAGGATTCTCGATACTTCAATGGCGGGCCTTACAGAAAATTCTTGGCACCACAGTTCTGTTACCTTGTGGAAGATTCTGGGGCCCCTGGTGGCAGTGTGGCAGACTCAGTAGCTGTTGTCCCCAATATCTGTGACACTAGTTGCCCTGGTAAGCTGGACTCCTGCTGCCCCTTTGCCTTGGTGGGAAGGAGGCCAAGAAGACCCAGTGCAGCATGGTGGGGGAGGCTGGCAGGTTGGGCATGCTGGATTTCAGTCCCCTGTGTGTGTGAGCTCAGAGAGGCAACTGCAGAACCCTGGAGTGCATGATGGGCAGGGCCTAGACCTCTGGGCTGTAGCACCTTGATCTTTGTATCTACAGGTGGGTGGAAGGTAAGGCTGAGGTATCATGCCCAGGACCCTTGGTCCTCAGTGTGGTGTTGCAGCAATCAGCAATCAGGGTCAAGTTAGGGTAAATGGCAGGGTTAGCATTGGTGTTGGATTGTCGCGAACCGGCGACGCAGAGCACTGTCCAGCAGTGTCTCAAACCTGAAAGAGCAGCGGAGTGGAGATGGGGCAGAGAGAAAGGAAGGACGCCAAGACAGTCTAATCAAGGTGACGTTTATTGCAAACAAGCATCAGCCTTTTAAAGGCACATCAACAGGAAACACCTGACTCCTACAGCTAACGTCAGATCTTTAACAGGAAGTACCTGACTCCTACAGATCTTTGGCTGTCCAAGTTTCTCTCGTGCATGGTCAGAAACAAGTTTAACACGTGCAGTCCTTAAAGAGGAACAAATGTTATCTTTCAAAAAGCCAATGGGCCATGGCTGGCTTCCCACATTGGATGTTGGATTAATGTTTAGGCTTTATGGGTAAAGGTAGGGTTAGTGTTAGTTTTATGTCAATGTAAGGTTTGTAGCTAAGTGTTAATGTTGGAGTTTGTATTATACTTGGCATTTGTTAGGACTAGGATTCAGTGTATTAGGTTCATCACAATTAGGTTAGGTTAATGGTCTGCCAGGAAATCAATGGAGTTTTTATAGGATAATGCAAGCCTTAGGCCCATGTCACTTTTACCACTTGTCCTGCCTGGGAAAAAAATTCTTTTTCTATTTGGAAATAGTTTTCTTTTTCTGGAATTCTCCATGGGACAGTTCATC